TTTGATGGGCTTTAATTTGGTATAAATACTTTCTGATATTATCTGTCCTTTAGGTCGTAGAGTGGGGGAGATAAAGGTTATGGGACACCCTGTACTGTGCATAACTATACGGTAAATTGTTACAAGAAAAATACTTTTTTGATTTAACAGAGTATTATTTTGGTAATTCAGTTGAGCATAATTTACAATATTCAACTTTTCAGTCAAGAACAGAAGAATTTTAGTCAGTTACGATCGATTAAAATTTTATTTTGTGAGTATCGGCAAGTTCATTTAACCAATAAATCGATTTAAGATCCAATATTTTTTTTCTGCATTTTTTTCATGATCATTTTTTCTTGCATTTTAGGAGACAAACAGGAAAGAAATAAATGATAAAGTTGTTTCGATCAATATGTGTATTATATTGTAATGTGAATATGTCGATGGCAACGCCAACCAATTTATAGTGGAATAAAGCTTCCAGAAAACTAGGAACTTGTCTTTTCTACCACAGTGAACTTTAAATCATAAGAATTTCTTAAAAATTGCATTAAACAAATTCATATTTTCATGTCCTTTGAACTGAAAAGACTTGTTTTTCTCGGTAAAATTCAATCTACCTTTAAAATCTTTTTTTTTAAAACACCTAAAAATGAAAAGATTATTATTCGGACTGAGAAATAAGTTTATATTGATCGACAGTTGTATATGCTTATTTTTCTAATATGTATTGTTGAACAAATATCAAAATTTAATCATACAAACTCTGTTAGCTCAGAATTTATATGAACTCTTATCCTTTACAGATTTTTCCAGAATTTCGAAATAATTCTAAATTCAATTATGCAAAAAAATAGCTATATAAGCATACAATGATTAGAGATTAGCAGTGATAATTATATCGAATAACAATAAGGACTACATAAGAAAAGTTGGGAATTGATTCGAGTATATCCTGTTGACATTTGCTGCTAAGTTTGCCCTAGATCTATTCTCAATCTTGTTCATTCCTTGGAAAAGTCTGAGAGATTCTTTCAAGATCCCTTTCATGTGAATAAATAAAAAGAAAAAAGTACTATACTATCTTCTCATAAAATGCAAAAAATAATTTCGATTTCCAATTCATTTATTTAATAATTATGTTATTTCAATGTAAGCAAGCCGACAGTAATTACGATGAAATGATTCAAAAACTATAGTTACTGTATAAAAGCGAACGATTCATTTTGTTTTATACGCCTTGAAATATACTTTTTAAAATAACATTTCTCCGACAGTTTCAACATGCCACAACGACAAGGCAAACGAAAGGGTGTGGAGTGGGGTGTGGGTGTGCTTGAACTGATTAGTGTAGCCTATACTCACACCCACACCCAGTTTTTGCTTTTTCTTCGTGCTTTAATTAATGCACGTTATTCTACTAAAGTTAATGAATGGACTTTCTTATCAATGACAAATATTGCACAAAGAAAATCAATAGGTATGGCTATATGGTAGTTAACCTTCTTATGTTAAGTGCATGTCCATCACATACAATTGCTGATGCATTGTAAGTATTTACTTAAATCATTTATCCTTGCTGATTTTTTTTCTTAGTTCTTTATATTAGTCTTTAAAGAAAAAAAAATTTATATTGAAATTTCATACAGATGATTTAATAGTGAATTAATATTGCACGAGTTTTTCTGAATTTATTTTTATGAGTAAAATAGAATGAAGTAGTATTTGGACTGTTGGATGAGCTATTTTTCTCCACCTATGGTTAAATATTCTTTCTAGTTTTCTTTTCCGATGGAATAACGATCAATTAAAAATCAATAAATTACGCCGCAGTTTAAAGTAAACACTTTACTCTATCTAACGAGTTGTAAATCACAAAATCAATAAATTTCGCTATGATATGTCAAAATGAATTCTCATAGATAATATGGTATATATTTTACTTTTTTAGGTTTTCATTGAAGTTATCACGTTTCAGTGCTCATCTTGAAGAATTAGACAATCGTTTATTGCTTATTGTTGGTCGAGAATATTATCTGCAGGTATTATAAAAGAGACAAAAGAAAAGCTGCAAATATTAATTGTATGAAAAAAAAAATCTATTTTACTTATTTTAGTTAACGAGTATTGAACAACGACGTCAATTTGAACAAGCATTCTTCAATGAATCGAATCCAAAAAATTATATGCTGATTTACTTGCACACATTCAAAATACAATCTTATCATGATCTTGGTGTGGGTGTAGATGTTGTTTGGATGTGTTGATGGATCATATACTCTCTCTTACCCACACCCTCAATAAAGACTAAAAATATCGATTCATAAAATGAAAACATATCAACAAGAATTCCTTTGTCTACTTTTTTACTAGAATCGGTCTCTGTTATAACAATCATATTAAGATTTTCTAAATCAATCAGAATAGATTGTCATTAAATTTTAGCTGCATATACTACTACGAAATAGGTTAAGTAAGATATCTCTAGTGAACATTATTGTTGTTTGCAAAAGATAATCAATTTCCACAAAAACCATTAGTCTCATTTATTTTGTGCATTTTTACTCTAATTTCGGTTTGGCTTGTTGATTTGTATTTCATATTGTGTGTCTTATTATGATTTCAATCATTGATTTCACTAGTAAATAAGTCGGTTAAAGTATTCACAAACATATTTCAGCCATTGAAATTTCAAGAAAGACTTTAAAATGTTTTAGAATAGTCTAAATCTGGTTGATGATGTCATTCAATGCCTTTTCTGTTGCCATTCTTCCTCCTTTTACTATGAAAACCATGCTCATTGATCTCTGATCTTTAAACCATGTCGCCGGAGTCTAAGAGAAAGCTGCACAAAGCTGAATTAAAAATTGCATTTATAACCAATACTTTTAATAATATCAAGAAGAGTGTGGGTATTGATGTTGATATTCTGTTTAACCATACCCACTTTCTCTTTAAATCGTTTTGGTTTAGTACATTATTAGTAAAAGCGCCGACCATATTTCATCCTACTGCACTATTTTCTGAAAATTCATTGAAAATGGTAAATTCAAAAAGTCTTGCACTACAATCGTTTCTTTTTATTTAAATAACAATTCTTTTTTCTTGATTTATTATTCGTACTTTTTATTATTTTGTTATCAATACAAAAAAAAATTCATACTAAAGAAAAAAAAATTGAATATTTTAATGTAAAAAGCAATTCATCATTATTTTTAGTCAATATTATTATTATGATTTTTATGTATAAAAACCAATTGTTCATTTTCTAAATACAAACATTCTCAAACTCCTGACTGTCATCAGCAAGATTGTCTATATATGCATCGTTCATCTCACCTTCATATATTAGAAAATATAAACATTAGTGTTTTCTTGTAAGATGACAATCCGATTATCGTTGGACAGTATTTAACAGTAACTATCCGAAACGGAATCGAACCGTCTTCTCCGAGTTCGAGTTCAGTTCGATGCCTGACAGACGTGGCATTGTTGTATAAAGTTATTTTAAATTTACATTTCTGAGAAATTGTTTATAGAAATCATAAGCTTTTGTAAGTTCAAACTCAACAACATAATCATCAAAATACATGACTTCAGAAAAAATAGATCATTAATAACGAAAATCCAATCATCACTATTGAATATTCTGTAAGAAAATGGTCACACCATGTTCCTGTTACATTCCAAAGATACTAAAAGACTTGTACACACACATCTAGGTTAAACAAGCAGACGGTAAGATCTTACAAGATAGAATACTTCAAACATATTTAGATTTAATTTTAAATTTATTTAACTTTTTTTGAAATTTCTGGATTTGGTAAATTTTTATAAATGTAAATTGATTGCTCATAATCGTTGTTGCAAAATATTCCCTCGAACATCATTTGATAATCGCATATAACATTACAACTTTACAAAAATAATTATATCTTAGCTAATCATTTATTTTTACGCACTTGTCTATATTTATTCATTTTTCCAAAATTATTAATATCTGTTTGTGCCAAAATCCGTTGTCCCAATGGATAGCATGATGCCGAACCCTGTTCTATTTTCATTAGTGAGAATAGGAGAGACGATTAGCAGCTTATGAATGAGCTGATGACACGAAAGATGATCGTATTCATCAAAACGTTTTTTCTCATAATCTAGTTTCGTGATTTAAATTTTGTGTTCTAACTTACGTAACTTTGCTTCAAATATTTCTTTTTATCGTTGAAACGGTAAACTTTGCACACATGTGACGAAACAAAATAAAGAAATTTTTTCCCGTAAAATTTAATTTGAACAGAGATATATGCAATAAGGTGTGAGTTTTCGGTTCATCTACAAATTCACACACCATATTGTCTATGAATCATGGTTTAGATAGAAAAAATCTAAAATATCTATTGTTTTCGAACTTTTGTTTTCGGTTTCAACTGATTCTAGTCATTCTGAATCCGATCAGAACTGTGCTTAAGTAAGTCGAATGCTTGAATTTATAGTCGGACTTTAATTCTCATCAAGTAACATAAGTTATCGTTGTATTCTTCATCTTTTTTCCCTAGACAAATGTTTCTTTTTTTTCAATTTTCGGATAATTATCAATTTAGCTTGCTTTTTGATTCAACAAGAAAGTCGTTGTCAACTCATCTAGACTAAGAAAATATTTCCCTATAGTTACAGTTAATTGTCTCCCTCTTTTGAATAGATCAATCAATCTCATCTGCATTTTTCTAGCTAACTTTGTCTTATTGAAATATAAGGTTACTAGATTTCCGCCAAAATGACTTTCTCCAATATGTCATTTTCTAAAGTCACATTTTCGCGGACATTCGCCATCGACGAAATTCAGAAACTCTAGATATTATCAGCTAAGTCTCCTAATCTTAAATAAATATATTTCTTCCGAATAAATGAAAATTTAAATAAAATTGAAACTGGCTTGTATCACAAATATTCACTCTGTTCTTTAGTTAACCTTAAGAAAATCTTGTATTGCTCGCCAAAAAAAAAACAATTTCTTACGTTTGAATATTTTGAATATAAATTTTCCAAAAGTTATTCAAAAGAAAAAGAGGATTTTGCAAGGTCACGATCCTTAAAATGGTGATGATGCTGAAACCTTGCGGAACGCTGGTAGAAGTGGTTAATAGTTATGTCATTGGATGTTTTAAAAACTATGCATTGAAAACAAAAACAAAAACATGTCTGTTAACTTCGACTGAAGTATTCGCTAGTCAAAGAAACATTTGAATTAGTAGTCTTAATAACTATTTCAATACACAGTAGTATGTGTGCGCAAATTTTTTCATCGCTAGTAAATTGATCGATAAAAATCTTGAAAAACTTCAAATTCTTCTGAAAACTCTGATATCAAAGATTGGTTCTTTTTTAACTACTGCTTCGTCGTAGATTGAGATGATTCCAGTGGATGATAAATTTAATTTAGTCAACTGTTGTCTTCTGAAGAAGAATGAGTTCGTCGATGAAACAAAAACATTTATCAAATAAAAACTTCCATGGTTCTACAGACTATGTATGCCTTTTTCTTTTCATATTGAATATGATTGTTGTTACTCTTTTCAAGGAACTAGTGCCTTTGGTTAATGTTAAACTCAAGTGTCAAACCTGTTTCTGTATTCTCTATCATTATAAGTATAGCTATAGTCATTGGCACACTAATAGTTCATTCTAACACATCACAAAACATCAAACATTTTACTTCTTGATTTACATGTGCTGTATTTCTACGATGAGTATAGGTAACAATATTTTGGACTTTTTGGTTAAAAAAGCGTCAAATTTTGATAGCATTTGATATCGATATCTGCTAAATAAATTATTGGTTGAGAAGAAAGTTAGAAGAGTTAAAAATCTTTCATTTTGATCTGATTATCTATAGATGACTGAGTCAAATTGTTTGATCTCCCTCTTCTATTTTTTTTTGTCATAGACCTTTTAAAGTTCTACAAAAGATTTCTTTTTCTCTATCACATTCGTGTAGTTTTTGGATATAATAAAACGCGATTGAAAAGTCTCGACTCCTATCAGTAAATTAATGGTAATTGATCGAAATATATGATTTCATAGAGGAAAAGAGAGAGTTTTATCTAATGAGATCATACTTTGACATGCATCAATATATTCCAATGCTTTTTGGTATTTTATAAATTTTGAGTGAATAATTTCATCTTACATTTTTGAAAAAGTCTTTCACTCTCGCAAGAGTTTAATAGGAGATTTATCATTTCAATGGAATAATATTCATTTATCTAGCATCTTCTATTGAATTTTAAAAAGAACACCAAGATAATTTTAATTAAAGCTGCAAAAATTGTCAAAAAATATATCCAAGCGAGTAGAATATTAGACAACAAATTCCAAAACAGGAAACTTTTCAAACATAAGATTGTTAACATGAATACCTTTAGGAATATAAAGAATGTTACAAAATTAAAATCATAATCAGCTAATATGATGAATATTATTTCATTGAAACGACAAATTTTGTATTAAACTTTTTCGGATAAAAATACATACAGCTGTTATAAAAAAAATTCTTCTCAATGAAATGTAAGATGAAACAAGTCGTTGAAGATTAGTACGATAGGAATAACATTGGACTAGATTGATTCTTTCTACAAAATTACCTATTTCAATCAATTAACAGATTATAAATTCGTGATAGACACCCTTAATTCGCTGAGAGGGTTAAAAGTTTCGAATCATTCTTAGATTAATTTGTCATATTTGTCTCTCCACATCGAAACGGCAATGAGACAAATACTTGTAAGGTTTTCTACATCAAACTATCAGCTGTAACTGAGAGTTTCTACACTGAAAAAAACTGATTTTGGTGTAGGTGAGTGTGGATGAGATCAGAAAGAGGAGATTCACCCACACCCCACAAAAAAAAGATTGTCAAGCTCATGAGAATGTGCGTAGGGCACATCTGAAATCCATTTTTCTTTGGCTCCCTGTGGAAGATGCAAGAACGAAAAAAAAATGGTAATTAACAGCTGATAATTTTCTTATATAGTTATAAATGACTTAGTATGTGAGTGACCATTGATATCTCGCATCTTATATGCATATACACGTTAATTATCGTTTTGTATAAATTAACTTTATCCATGAAAGAGTCTCAAAGGTTTAGAAAAATCTTTGTATGGTTTATATATACAAAATAAAAAGAATGATAATGTTCTAGTAAAGGGATATGGAACTGATATTCGTTATTAACCAATGTTCATCTACATTTATCAATACAGATGAA